CTGCCTTCCTCTTGCCGGCAGCAGCATCGCCCTCGGCTTTCTTAAAGAGGGCAGTGGCGGGCTTCTGGCTGCCCTGTCCCGACCCCTTCGGGTCCTGTTTCTTCAGACGAGCAAGGCCCTTTACGTTCACCATGGAGACGGGGATACCTGCAAAAAGGAGACAAAGGGTTAGTCCGACGGGTCTAAGCGAAGGGACGATAACATCCAAGCAAAAATAAAACTAGGTACAGAATTCTAAAGCCCTCGGCTCCTACCTCCGGCTCCTCCGAAGGCCTTGTTGAAGGGAGGGTACTTCTCATCGGTCTCCCCTATGAAGCGGTGCCTCCGGAACCCGAGGGTGTATAAATCCTCCTCGAGGGTGCAGTCTTTGATCGCTACGTTCTTATTTTTCCCCTCCGGGAACTTGGCCAGCTTTAGGCCGTCTTTCTCGAGAGCAGCACTCCTAATTTTTTCGTGCCTTCGGAATCGATCACGCAGCTCCCTCGGGAATGGGCTCTCATCCAACTTTACGTAGCACCAACGTTCCCTACATCCTTTGTTGGAAGAAGGAGCATCGGAGAATAGCTTGAAGCGGGCAATCTGCTGCAGGTTGGCGTACCCCTCGCCGTTTTCGTGCCCCCCCCCCCCCCCCCGGCACAAATTAAAGCTCTGGAAGAATAGATCCAGGCTGGGCTTCACCCCTCGGGACTTGCAGAGCTGGAGGAACCCCGCAATGTAGGAGTGGCTGTTGGGCGTGAGTTGGCAGGGGACCAAACCAACATACCTCAAATACTCCCGGAGGAACGGGTGCAGAGGGAACCTAAGTCCCATGGAAACCGAGAGGACGTGAATAGCGATACACCCCTCGGGCGCCTTGGACAACACGTCGTCGGGACCTGGCTCCACCACTTCGGCCGAGGGCCCCACGTGCAGCTGAGTCACGTACAGATCTGCCCTATCAGCCTTCGACCTGATCTCGAGGGCCTCAGTGTTCAGCCAACTGTACCCCTCGGGCATGTCCACGGGTTTTCCCTGATCGACGGCCCTCTCCTTCTTCTTGGTAGCGGCCTTCTTCTTCTTCAAACCGGAAACCGCCCTCAGAGGTATCGGATCCAGCGGCCTCGAGCTACTGGCTTCCCCGGAACCCCGAGGGGGGAGAACAGCAATCGTAACCTTCGAGCTCTCATTCTGCGCCTCATCCTCCGTTGTTTGCCATGCGAGGGCTAAGTCTTCATCCTCGCACTCTTGCTCGAAGCCCTCGGCTTCGACCTCCGCAATGAGTTCCTTCTGGACCTCCCGGGCCAGGACGACATCAGCACCATCCGAGGGCTGGCCGCTGCTGGACTCCACGTCGGAGATGCCTTCGTCCTCCATCGAGGGCGTCCTCGAGATGTCCTGAGAGTCACTCTGGGACGACATTCTAACTCTAGCTCGAGAGTTCGGGGGGAACTAAGGTTTCTAGTGAATTCTATCTCCTAACCCGAGGGCGCAATGTACAGCTATACTAGAAGGAGAAAGGCAGGGAGCACTGACCTCGAAAGCTGAGTTAGGACCGAAGGCTTGAGTTTCTCTCACTAGATTTTTTGGCAGAGCTTCGCTAAGACAACTGAGTTCGCACAGCGGGAATGGCTCTGGCCTTGGGGTATTTATAGGCGCTGGAATCCGGGCTTGGGTCCGGAAACCGGGCCTCCGGACGGACCGTCATCATTACACACCGTCGTTTCACCCAACCGGTGACGCCGCCCGCGAACAGCCAGCCATCACACGCCACGTGTGCCACCCCCCCCCCAACGGCTATATCCCGTCGTTACATATTCCAACGGCTATATTTCCAACGGCTATATTCCGGAAGCCCCCGGGTTTTTCCACTTCACTCCACTTCATCAAGGGTAGCCCCCGGGTACACTCACTCAGAAGTATGCCCAGGTTGTGCCCCAAACAGCACATAACAGACGTCTTCGGGATCACTCCTTCAGAAACCCAGGACTTCATAAGCAGGGCACCCCTCGGGGATTCCCCCTCAGCACTGCAAAACCGGGTAGCCCCCGGGGAGTTGCCTCATTGACGGATGACCCATGGCACCCAGGTAATGGGAGCCCTCGGGTATCTTCATCACCAACTAATCAACAAACAGTGGACCCCCCGGTAACAACTTCACTGCTGCTCTCATCTGGCAGGCCCTCGATCCCTGGATTGAGGGGCTCCCCTTCGGCGCCACCAGGACATCAACAGCAAGCCTTCGGCTAATCAACACAGGAGCCCTCAGAAGAGAGAGCCTTCGGCATTCCCGTCATTTTCCATTTTTTACCAAGGTTTGACATTTTCGATTCATCATTGGGGGAATTCGGTGCACTCTTTTTCCCTCATTAGGATTTTTTCCCAAAGGGTTTTTCCTAATGAGGTTTTTAACGAGGCATCCCCCCAAAATGAAACGAAAAGCGTCAGCCTTCGGCCCACAACAGCAACGTAACTACTTTACTCCTTTTCACCACTTTACAAATGCCTCAAGGAGTGGGGGACTAGAGGACCCCCTCGGGAAAATCATTAAATTACAAAATCTGTGAAATTCCAACAAACAACAAAGCAAGCCCTCAAGTCCCGACATGTGGGTAACTGAGGGACTGCCTTCGGCAGGGACATAAAAGCAACAACTCCTCACCAACTTCAGAGATCACGACGGGACAACATCAAAGGGCAAGCACAAATTACTCCTTTTCCCTCAAGTACCTTTCGGCAAAAGGAGTGAGGGACTCCTGATGGAGTATATGGTCCGGGAACCACCGGCCCACAGACTCCTACTACTCCAGCGAAGGCCCAACAGGCCCAGAAGGCCCAGCAGGCCCAAATCACAGCGCCCAGAGTACCAAGCAGCCCGCACTACGCGCCAGGGGTGCCTTCGGCCCCCTGGCCGAAGGCTCTAAACTCTCGCAGAACGGGTTTCTCAAGCAAATTAAGAAACTGAGAGAAAAACGGCGAAAACAGTAGCCCTCGGCACTATGAGCCCTCGGCACCAGGGTGCCATCGGTTGGAGGAGCCCTCGGCCACTGCTCTATGGCCGAAGGCATCTCACTCGACAAGATATCCGCCTCACATGCGTACAGATCACCGTACCCCGCACAGACGTCCCATCCAACAGCCGCATTAAATGCGGCCACATGCGGCTGCCAGCGCCAACCAGTTGAGGTGACCCCTCGGCCAATGAGCGCTTGACACGTGTCCCTGCCCGGCATTTATTGCTACTATAAATAGCACCCCATTTCCTCATTTGTAACCACGCTGAAAACGGCATTCACACTGAATACACTCTCTCTCTACTTTCATCTGCTTGCTCTGACTTCTCTCTAAGTTACTCCCCGTAATAACCCTTCGGATATATACCCCCGGATAGACTATCCATCAATTCATATGGCTGCAGCTCATAGAGTACTTAGATACCTTAAAAGCTCTCCAGGTAAAGGTCTGTTTTATTCTTCCAACTCTTCTTTTAATATTCAAGCCTATACAGATTCTGACTGGGGTTCTTGTGTTGATACCAGAAAAAGTATTTCTGGGTATTGTTTTTATCTTGGAGATTCCTTAATTTCTTGGAAATCCAAGAAACAACCTGTAATCAGTAGATCTTCTACTGAAGCAGAATACAGGGCAGCTGCAAATGCAGTTTGTGAGGCCCAATGGATAGTTTATATACTTCATGATTTACAAATTAAAAATTCTTTACCCATAACCTTATACACTGATAACAAATCTACTTTTCATTTAGCATACAATCCTATCCAACATCAAAGAACAAAACATATAGAACTAGATTATCATTTAATTAGGGAAAAGATCAATTCTGGTCTTATAAAACTTGAACATATCTCTAATACTTATCAACTTGCAGATATCTAAACAAAGTCACTTGGAAATCCTCTCTTCAAGCAGTTTGCAGACAAGATGAACATGCAAGACATCCATGATCATCTTGAGGGGGCGTCTTAAATATATATTTTGGACTGTTTTATATTTTTGGGCCTAATGGACTGTTTACTTATTTTAGGCCTGTTAGCCCATTAGTATAAATATCATTTTAACTCTGTAATAGGTTTAGGTTTTCATATTCTCTTCTCCGCAATCTATCTTCATAGATTACGAATCAGCTCTCTCTGTAAATCAATTGTTCTTGCTTCCAATTCTGATTTCAATTTCCATTAGAATTCACACAAATGCCTTCAAATTTTTACATTTTTTATACAAATTTTGAAAAGGTAAATGATGGAGTATATGGGCCTAGGCCCCAGGACCCACATACTCGGAAGAACAGGAGGTACCACGATCACCTGGTGGGGGCCCCGTCGGCCGGATGACCTCCATCGGCCAGAAAGAAGTCTACTCAGAATGTAATCCAGAAGCCAGGAGAACCGGGTGACCTCGTCGGCCGGGTCTTCATCGGCCATAGATGGCCTCTAGAAGAGGATTGTATACTTAGTCATTTCTGTACACTTTGTATTCGGCCCATTAGATGCCCTATTGTAAATGGGCCTCCCAAGCCCAAGGCTTGGGAGCCCAACCCGCATTTTCCTATTGCAAAGAGTTATTGTCATTCTCTCTCTAGCTCTCCCTTCTCTCTAGGTATATAATCTATCAGTAAATATATACAGAGTAACACAGTAATACAACAAAGTGTCCTCCAAAGTATGTTTTGCTTGGTGCTAATGTGCTATATTCCCTGGTTCCACATTTTCATACAGTTCTTTCTTGAATTGGGTTTTCATATCAAACCTTTGAAAGTATTATAATAAGTGAAACTATAGTATGCTCATCACGCATAACTCATTCATAGTCGAGTATAGGATAAGTTACAGAAAGTGTTAATGATCTTCCCAATTGCAATCTTCAAGTTTGGTGAATACAAAAATTGCAGCTAGCAAAAAATAGAATGAGTATCATTGATTTAATAAACTATAATTACTAAACTAAAAAATCTTTAGAATTTTTGCCAATTATAATTGTCGCAACAAAGTGTTAGCTTTTACTGTATCTATTCAAGAATGGAGTGTGCATTAAATAAATGATTCATTATTATTAAGAATATATATAGTTGAGGTACTTATTATAATAATAATTACACAAATGAAAAATAAATTTCAAAAAAAGAATAAGTGTATGCTACATGTTTAGGTTCACCTGTAAACTATCTGCTATTCAACTCACTGTAACACAGTAGATTCCATCCAAGAACGGAAAGAAAAAGAAGCAAAAAGGCTGGACCAAATCAGACAGTCCATCCTTTTTTTTCTTGTTTGAATTTCCTTTAGCTCACTTGTTCTCCAATCAAATCCAACCCCACCACAAGGAAAGTTAAACCTTGAAATAGCAAGTAATAGAAATGAATCCCCTGAGCAGATAACAAGCTTCTTGCAGCTGCTGTGAGTAGAAGAAAAGCCAAACTTAACTCTTTCCTATAAATCCTGTTTTTGAACTTTTTCTTCTTGTTGTTCAACTCGACTGGAACGTCTTGTTCTTTTAATTTGCCATACATTTCTAGACCTGACTCCGATAACCGTCTCTGAATTTTCTCTCCCTGGAAGATCTTGGACTCCTTCTCAGCTAATGCCAGCAGGTCTGATTCAGATGATCGACCCGTCTTCTTTGTGACCACCCATTCATAGGCACTGCCCAATTGAAACAGTCCAGAGACCATTGCATTGAACTTTGTCACTGACATTGTGTTTTCGAACAGGAGGTATGGTACGAGAAAGGGGAAAGATTTTGGTGATGGAAGAATGTTCAAAATGGACATGATGATGGGAATGTAACATATCACCCATGCTGGTAATTCGGCTTCTGGTATGAACATTGTTAGTGGAAGTATGATGCAGAAGAGTGTAAATGAGTAAAAGGGAAGAATGAGTTTCCTCAAAAGAAAGAAGAGGAATATCAGATTGCCCTTCTTCCATATTGATATCTGCAAGAACACAATAACAACACATCAGTATTATGATTTATGTCTTTGTTGAGTTTCTTTTTATGGGAAGGTCTAACAAAGTTCATTTATTCATTTTTAGCTGATATGGAACACAACCTATAATTTCACTTTTTAGTAAGTGTGTCAAGTCAAAGTGGGAAGAAATTTTGGGACAGAGTGAGTATGTTTAACAGGTTTCTGTCTTTGATATAAAAAAGAAACCTAGAGCCAGTATTTTGAAATAGCTTGGCCTACAAAATACTAAAGCCTAAACATCCCCAAATCTCTGGAGTGAGACCATAGAATAGAGCAATCTTGAAATTTGTATGCTTGGTTGTACGCTTATCAAGGAATGAGGTGATTGGAATTGATACTCTCAATAATTAAAAGTGGAAGCTCTGGTAAGAGGTTAACGTGCTGACTGCTGATAAAATTACTCAAGACTCTAGGTGAGAATTTTCAAAATGAAGCCTAAAAATTGTACTCTATGTAGGGGATACTGACTTTGGAAGTCAAAATGGCAGGAAGGCATAATCTGAAGAGCTGCATAGGACCAGAATGCCAACGATGTTGCTGCTTCTTGTATGCTTCGTAAGACTCTGGAAGCTCACATAACGCCCTAACGTCGTTTAAGAAAACAAATTTCCATCCATTCAAGTGTGCTCGCACTGCGATATCCATGTCCTCTACGGTGGTCCTCTCCAGCCATCCTCCCGACTCCTCTAAGGCCTTTATTCTCCACACCCCGGCAGTTCCATTGAACCCAAAGAAATTTAGATAATGGCCATTCACTTGCTGTTCCACCTCAAAATGGAAGCACAAGTTGATGTACTGAAGCCTTGTGAGTAAATTCTCATCCTTGTTCACGAACGTCCATCTTGCTTGAACTAGTCCTACTTCCGGCTTCCCCTGAAACACAACAAGGACTACTTTTAAATATAAATAATTAACGTGAAATTCAACTATCAGTTTATGCTTTACATTATTCAAATTAAGACTTGAGATTCCACCCTATATTCCTATATAAATATGGTGAGCTTGTATCTTTTAACATAGAGTAATATGTACCTTAAAATGAGGAACAGACAATTTAAGGAAATCAGGACCAGGTTGAAAGTCGGCATCAAAGATTGCAACGAACTCATAATCTTTTACATATTCACATGTCATTGCGGAATTAAGATTGCCCGCTTTGTATCCGGTTCGGATCAACCGGTGTCTGTACACTATGTTCACCCCTTTCTCCTTCCAAGACAAAACTTCATTCCTGATCATCTGTTGCAAAACCTCATCATCTGAATCATCCAACACCTGAACTAGAAACCGGTCTTTTGGCCAATCCAGATTGCACACAGCTCCAATTGATTGCGCAAACACCTTCACACAAACAAGTTTCTCCATCAAAATCAGCCAGATTTTTGGTCAGTAAATAAAAAAGTAGAAACGGAAGTACTCTTTTTGAAGAGTTACTCAAGATTATCATTTCAGGGTTTTTCATTTAGATAAACATTTTTTCTCATAATTTGTCAGTCATCTGAAATTAAAGAGAGAATAATAAGTTAATAAGATCATGGCTTAAACTAGTTACAAGATTGAAATCATTTTCTAATATGGTCCATTCAACGTAGTAGCATTTGACCTAGTAAAGTAATCCCAAGTGATCCTTGGATTTCTCCTACTTTGCGGATAGAAGAATAGATGTAAAAAAGTATGGGAAGCTTAGTTTGTACCTCTTTTTCATTGCACATGGGAATCTGCACAAGAACCATAGGGAAGCTGGAGGCATCCTCAAGATCATATGCATCTCCATCAATCACGGGCTTGATTTTCTTGTATTTAATCCAGAAACAGCCCAAACAGAGCGCTACACGGTCCAAAGATTGGATGAGGAAAAGAACGGTGCAGAACTTAGAGAGAGTAACAACGGAGGGAGCGATATAATCAGCTCTGAAAGCCAACCAAGACATATAACTCCATTGGAGAAGGGTTTGAACCTCTCCAGGATTGAAATCCCAAGGGTTGAAATAGGCAAAGATCTCCAAAACCAAAGCAATAACCGAGGCAGCAAGAAAGACTCTGATAAATCTGTAAAGCTTCCCTCTATGCTTCGGATTTGGATCTTCTTCGTCTTCATCTGTTCTTGATAAGGCAATGCGTTTCTTGACTGAAGAAAAAGTAGAGCGCAACCCAATAGCCAGCCATGGAAGGCAAGCCAGAGCCCTGTGAGCTTTGAGAATAAGAAAAGTCTTGGGATTTGTTGACTTCTTGTGCTTATCACGGAAGGCGGCCGGAGAGTTGATCTCCACCAAGGAGATGTTCTTGTTGGAGTTGTCAATGGTGACCACTACAGAGGCAGGCGCCATTTTCGCCTCAAAACCCAAAGGCAGCCCAGATTCTTGGGATTTCAGTGAGAAAACTCAAAAAAGATTCAAACTTGGGAGACTTCCCACCGTCAGACGATGAAGAAAATCATCTGGGGTGTTGTGACTCCACGCATTTCAAGAAAAGTATGGTTTGAGAAGCTGGAAAGAACTTAAAGACAAATCTGGAAAGGAAGATAGAGAGAGGATATAGAAAGAGGGAGGGAGGAGGGAGAATATGCTTCTGCAATTGAATTGAATGAGGCTAATAACCAGAAGCTGTACTACTAATAAAAGGTGGAGAGAGGGGCTATCAATCTTCATCAGTATCATGTACTGTAATTTTGTTCTTAATTCTGGAAAAATGCTTAATTACCGCGGGTTTAGTATTTTATTTTATTTGCATTATTTGACGATCATTCTGAGTTGTTTCTTGGGAGCAAAATGCTCTGTCATTGCTGGCAATCAACAACCTTTGGTCTGCAGACAAAATAAGTGACAGACAAGTCCAGCAAAACAAATTACAGATATTCAACTCGGTTTAAATCTCAAATTATGAATGTTCAAATTACTTTACAAAATAATTTCGAAATTCGTGAATTATTATCACAAATCTCATTTCGATTTTACAACTTACCAGCATCATGTGTTAAATATTGTGTCATCAATCTTGACGTAATTTCCAGAAATTGGACTAAAAATTATCCACGTGGATTCAGAATTTCACAGATAGCGTTGACCACGGTGGACGCGGCCATCTTCAGTAGTATGTGGCTATGTGCTTTACGGCAGTTCACGCAATTACGCGTCTCTCCCGTGACCACAGGTAAATTAGAGAGAAGGTTGCTCATTTTAGGAATATCTTCATCTTAGTCATATATACTTTTATAAAATATATTTTGATATAATTTTCATATTCTAAATAATTTCATATTAAAAAAATATTGCAGTTTCCTTGTGAACGGCTAGTTATATTACAGAGAGAAGAGAAAGTGAAAATATAAAGAGAGAAAGAGATTGTAATTAATGGGATTCGAACCCTTTACAATTGTACCCGGGTGGGTATTTATAGTATTAACAAATGAGGTTGTGCATTAAATGCACCACACATGTCAAATAATCTATGGGTGAAAAACGAAAGATCTCGCGGAGCCGAGGTGACGAAGGCCGAGGTGCAAGGGTGCACCTTGGGTTTGGTAATGTCTTTGTTTCTGGGTGATCTTTCGGGATTTGTGACCGAGGTGTCACCTTCGAGGTGACTGTACGGACTGTATGGGCAGAAAGCCTTTTCTCCATCTTGGGCCAAGCTTGTTTTAGGGGCCTTTACTGATGTGTTGGGCTTGGACCTTTTGTGTATCCAAGAGTGTGTGGGTCGTGGATCTGAGCCCATATACTCTATCAGGAGTCTCACACTCCCTTGGATCGAGGGGCTTATTATGGTATGTGAGTTCAAGATTTATACCTGGGGTTTTCTTGTCTATTTGGTGTTGGCGAATTGTGCTCCGAGGTACCATTGATTGCAAGAGTGTTGTGTGTTGATACTCTCAAGGTGCATGTGTTGGTTGCTGAAGTGAACGTGCAACATGGTTCGCGGTGCACTGTGTTTGATCAACCACAACTTATATTACCAAGAGGCGTGACTTTAGATAGGTGGTCTGAGTTGATTGGTCGAATGTGGGCAATCACATCGATTGGACCGAGTGGCAACCAGCGTGATGACACGTGTAGTGGTCGTTGGGTGCCATCGTGACTTCGCCTATAAATACAGCCATTTGCCTTCATTTGTTATTTCGCATTTTGAGAGGTTAGGACGAGGTGCTGCCGGATTCTAGAGAAAGAAACACCCTTTGTTGTTCTTCTCCAAACCTTCAAAGGTTAGTTCTTCACTTGTTCTTCGTAAATTTTTCATACTTAGCTCCCACGACTACTTTATATCGAGTGTTAGTGAGAGACCTTTATTTGATCCATAGAAGACTAAGTGTAAATATGTTAGTAATGTCATCCTCTGACCCTCAAAACATCTCCGAGTTGCCTGATGTCAACTTGGTAGACGAGGAGCAATCTTTTAGTTATGATAGCTTTGATGTGGAGTTGAGTCCCAAGGTCCAGGTGCGCTAGTCAGAACAGTTTGATGCTGAGGTGATTGAAACTTCTAAAACTGAAGACGAGGATGAGGCGAAGTCTTCAAGAGCAGCCGAGGTATGTGTTGGACATGGTCGTCTATGAGCCCGGGTTTTTGAGGAATGACGAGGAGGCTGATGAAGCAGTTGCCTCCACTTTGGGCTAGGGTTTTTGTCCGTCACCGATTTCTGTCGTGGTGCCACCGAAAAAATGAAGATATCCTCGACTGTAATACCCGAGATTAATTTAAGAGGATTAATAGTACTACTCATACCAACAGAGGTGCATCTCCTTTTAAGGGAGCTCATCACCCAAGAACTCCAAAGTTAAGCGTGCTTGCACGGGAGTAGTCTTGGGATGGGTGACCCCCTGGGAAGTTTCTCAGGGCGCGCATGAGTGAGGACAAAGTGTGCGGTAAAGGCTCGTGGTGGTTTGTGGGGACAGTACTAGAGGTCTAGAGTAACTACCTCGGGTCCGTGTGGGGCCCCGGAGTGTTACAGGTGGTATCAGAGCAACCCTGCGACAGTGTGCTGACCCGTTAGATATCGGGCGGGCACTTAGCGGGGCAAGATTCTGGGGTTTTATTGAGATTGGTTTAAGGGCGCAACGAGGACGTTGCGATCCTAAGTGGGGGTGATTGTAATACCCGAGATTAATTTAAGAGGATTAATAGTACTACTCATACCAACAGAGGTGCATCTCCTTTTAAGGGAGCTCATCAGCTAAGAACTCCAAAGTTAAGCGTGCTTGCACGGGAGTAGTCTTGGGATGGGTGACCCCCTGGGAAGTTTCTCAGGGCGCGCACGAGTGAGGACAAAGTGCGCGGTAAAGACTCGTGGTGGTTTGTGAGGACAGTACTAGAGGTCTAGAGTAACTTCCTCGGGTCCATGTGGGGCCCCGGGGTGTTACATCGACCTTCTCCCCTAGGTGTGCCTAAGGGATGCTCGTTCTTTGACTGCTCCCTTTTGAAGATTATTCGTCTTAACAACACCGACGCCGACATCATCCTAGGTCTAATGCTCGTTGGTCCGCATGGGGTTGTGAGAGAGTCGTTGCCCTCATATTGTATCCTTGAGCCACCAAAGGCATATTTTGGGGCCTTCACTTTCTACCTCTCAAAGGGTTTGAGATTCCCCATTCACCCCTTCTTACCACAGTACTTCGAGTATACTGGTCTTCGTCCTGCTCAGTTGTCCCCAAACAGCTATGCCCTCATCACGAGTTTTCTCATAAGGTGCCATGAACTGAATATTGCGGCGTCGCTAAGGTTGTTCATGAACCTTTTCAAGCTCAGCCGAGGCGGACATGAAAATTGCGATGGATTTGCAAATTTACAACAACTGCCGAGGAGGAGGAGAACCAAGCTTGGGTAAATTCCATCATTTCAACGATGGCCTGCTTACTTACGTCGAGGGGGAGCAACATATGCAATTGTTGGTGTACTGACGGCTACGTCGGAAGGTCAAAGACTTCTCCCCGGCCAGCTATGGTCTGCCCACAGTGATGAATGATCCAGGAGAGGAGGTGAAGAAACCTCTGAGCGAGAGGCAAGATCCCATTGTGGATTCCAACCTGAAGGATGAGGCCGGTGAGTGGGTCAAGAGCATCTTGTGCAGAAATGATGAATGCAGTGGCGCCCTTGCTGAGCTAGAGGCTGATATTCACGTAAATCTTCTAAGGTAAAGGACCCTTTGGTTGCTGCTCGGCTCCAGACGAACAACTCTGAGGTGTTGACTTGGACTTGCCTTGGTGAAAAAATTATGACTTGTAAATACTTTGGGGTTCTCTTTTTGTTGCTCGAGTCTGACCAGACGTCATGTCCTCGGCTCCCCTCTTTTTTTAGCTTCTCTAAACTTTTGTAGTGAGAATGCATGTAACTTTTGGCAGCATTTTATGGATCCGTGTGTCGGATGAGGGGTCACTTGCTGCACCTCGTCTTGTGGCATATTGTTGCACTTAAGGGGTTCCCAACATCGCATGCCGTCGGGATTAGGCTATAGGGTTGCCGCACAGAACCCCTCGAAATCGCTCTTAAGTGTTTGGGGTATTTGGAAGACTCATCCATTTTGCGACTCCTTTTGGGCCTTCGGTTGTTTTGCAAGCTTATGGTTCGAGGCTACGTTTTCATTGGCCGCACCTTCCCGGATTACAACCGTGGGGGGTGACTTACTTAGTTTGTGTTTCTTTTTCTATCTTTTAGAGATTTGTAGGAAGCATCATTTCATTAATGAGTGACTCGAGGTCGTGGGTCAAGTTCCACCAATACCTTTTTAAGGTGTAGCTTATAAATAAGCTCGTTACCTCGGAAGTGGGGGCATTGCCCGTCACCACTGCCTTAGGTTATTGGTAGAACTTGACCAAATAGTGTACACTCCACAACCGTGGCACTTCAGACCCATTCGAGTGCTTTAGTTTATAGATGTCGGCTTTAACGACTGCAGTGACAATGTAGGGACCCTCGTACTTCTGGGTAAGTTTGTCTCCTCCAGTTGACTGACTTGCTTCTCGTCTTCGGAGGACGTAGTCCCCCAATTGGAATTCTCTAGAACGAACTTTAGCATCATGATTGGATTTAACTTGTCGGCGATAATTCTCAGCCCGGAGGTAAGCGATTCTAGACGTGAAACACCAATTAAAAGCCTCATACACCCGCAAGCATGCAGAAAAAGTCGACTCAAATTAATCTACATCTAAAAGTATAAGGCAAAAAATTAGTAGTCGAGAAAAAATCGATAATAATCAAACCAGAGTCTTAAAGCTATTATTTACCGAACTAAAATTTGTGGATTCTAGTTCTAGTAAAGTCTAGCTAGGTGGTAATTGTTTCAGTCCATTATAGCGAGGACACTTACAATACATTATGAAAATTTTATCCTTTTTATATGAACAAAAACAGTAACTATGTAACAATCTCATTACTCATAAAAAACAAAAGAGTTAATTATCAAACTAGGACTAAAAGTCATTCACTTTTCACAAATAGGATCAAAAAATAAACTATGTTTGCATAGGACTAATTATGTGTACCTTGGACAATTATACCCTTATATCTATTAAAATGTTTTAATTCCTAATAAAATAATAAAAAATAATAAAAATTCGTAAAAAATACTAAAAATTAAGAAAAACATTTCGATATTAAAAA